CAACAAAATTAGAGAATTGAAGACACCATCACAAAATGAACAAATCTGAGAGAGGTCCACATGTAGTACCTATATAAGTAATATCAAAGCAATCAGACTATTGGTTTTTTACAAGAAGTGGAAAATATCACTTTTTACCAAAAATGACAAAAATATTCACCAAAATTATAGAATCGAAGATATCATCACCAAATGAACAAATCTGAGAAAGGTCTACATGTAGTATCTAAATATGTATTATCAAAGCAATTGTTGAACTATTGGTTTTTAACAAGAAGTCGAAAATATCACTTTTTACCAAAAATTGCAAAAATATTCACCAAAATTAGAGAATTGAAGACATCATCACAAAATGAACAAATCTGAGAGAGGTCCACATGTAGTACCTATATATGTAATATCAAAGCAATCAGACTTGTGGTTTTTAACAAGAAGTCGAAAATATCACTTTTTACCAAAAATGACAAAAATATTCACCAAAATTAGAGAATTGAAGATATCATCAGGAAATGAACAAATCTGAGAAAGGTCTACATGTAGTATCTAAATATGTAATATCAAAGCAATTGAACTATTAGTTTTTAACAAGAAGTCGAAAATATCACTTTTTACCAAAAATTACAAAAATATTCACCAAATTAGAGAATTAAAGATATCATCACGAAATGAACAAATCTGAGAAAGGTTCACATGTAGTACCTATATATGTAATATCAAAGCAATTGCACTTGCGGTTTTTAACAAGAAGTCGAAAATATCACTTTTTACCAAAAATGACAAAAATATTCACCAAAATTAGAGAATTGAAGATATCAACATGAAATGAACAAATCTGAGAGAGGTCCACATGTAGTAACTATATATGTAATATCAAAGCAATCAGCCTATTGGTTTTTTACAAGAAGTCGAAAATATCACTTTTTACCATAAATGACAAAAATATTCACCAAAATTAGAGAATTGAAGATATCATCATGAAATAAACAAATCTAAGAGAGGTCTACCCCAGGTACATACACACCAGGTATCAAAGCATTCAGGCTTGTAGTTTTCATGAACAAGTCAAACAAGCAGCCTGTCGGCTGAGATAGCGCCGCTGTTAGCAATGCACATGGCAATTAAAGAACAGAAGATATCATTAGAAAATGAACAAATCTGAGAGAGGTCCACATGTAGTACCTATATGTATAATATATCAAAGCAATTGGACTTGCGGTTTTCAACAAGAAGTCGAAAATATCACTTTTTACCAAAAATTACAAAAATATTCAACAAAATTAGAGAATTAAAGATATCATTACAAAATAAACAAATCTGAGAGAGGTCCACATGTAGTATCTATATATGTAATATCAAAGCAATTGGACTTGCGGTTTTCAACAAGAAGTCGAAAATATCACTTTTTACCAGAAATGACAAAAATATTCACCAAAATTAGAAAATTAAAGATATCATCATGAAATGAACAAATCTGAGAGAGGTCTACCCAAGGTACATATACACCAAGTATCAAAGCATTCAGGCTTGTAGTTTTCAAGAAGAGGTCGAAAAAGTAAAACATTGACACGGACAATGGACGACGACGGACAATCACTCATATGATAAGCTCCGCTCGACAAAGTCAACAGCGAAGCTAAAAAAGGCAATAGAAAAATTAAGCTGGCTCTGAAACAAATATTATTTCTGATACTCTTTAAAACTTACATAAACAACAATATGTATTGAACAGTACCAAAAAGAATTTGATATTATTTAAGCTAATTAACATATTATAATTGCATAGTTCCATGTGAATCTGTGCATCAGTTTTTGTAATATCAATGAAACCACAATTCCACTCATATGCAAATTTTTCCCAATTAATTGATAATGGATTTTTACCAAAACCTAAACAGATCCTG